TCTTAGGCCGTTAAAAAATACACTCATCATAATTTGGATATAGTCTTTCTTCTTTGGGTTAGGAAGTTTTAGTTTAGTTTTTTTATGTAATTTAACACCGCAAAGCACAATGGAGGAAATTAAACGTTTTACTCATTTGCATCTTTACGTCGAAGTGTAAACTGCTAAATCGCTCTGTAAGTCAATGGATATTATACACATAACCACGCTTTGTAGAAAATCTGTCAGGGGAAGTAAATGGCGGGCATTGATGGATATACAAGGGAGAGTAGTTCCATGTGCCGATTGGCCGACTCTCTTAAACTTCTGGCCGACTTCGATGGAATTGGTGTGTTAGGGACCACCTCGCCGTTTTGAACTCATATATAACGAGAAAAGTATATTTAAATCACACTTTTGTTTTAGTTAGAAAGTAAGAAATAAATCTAGAATACTTCAAGGTATGCAGTAATAAAACTATATTTTGGTACGAATAGTGACGTCAAATGTGTCGCCGCTGATACTCAGTGTTCGTGAAATTCTCGCACTTCAAAGCCTATTTTCACCCCTAAAACAAAGGGGACCCATGGGACCATTTACTTTTTCTTAAAGATTGCTATCTATAGAATGTAACTGTGCTAAAATTTGAGGGATTTCTAGCGTTCTTAGCTGTAGCATTAACTTCTTGGGTTGCTGCTATGTTGGCAACATTTTACGAACAAAAAAATCAAAACACATAAGACTAACTGGACACATTTTAGGTACTATTTAGTAATTAGTCCTCGAGCACGAATGGGCTATTAACGCATAGGCCATGAGGGTAGGAGGACTAATTGTTTTAGTCAAATCCAACTAGTAGGCCAAATACTTAGACGCAAACAAGTCTTGAATTAAAGTTAAATGAAATGTTTTGGTTTTCAAAGCTGGCACTTTTCACAACTAGTAGGGTATAACTTATAGCGTACTAGTAGCTCATCCAATAAGAATGCAGCATTGATGATAGACCACTAGTTGGATTTGACTCTTAAAATATATTATCTGCTTTTAAGAATCCATGTAGGCGTAGTTCATATATTCACCCTTCACACTGCATATGAAAGATTTATGTTTAGTTGGTATTCAAAATGTTTTGTTAACTAACGAATTAAATCCCACACTTGGAAAATAAAATTCTCAAAAAGCTTCTGAACAAGGTTGAGAAAATCGAGCCTTCTCATTGGATGTTTCGAATCACTTGGAACAAGCCAATAATTTAAAAGCACAAATGTCCCGTTTAGTCCAGATCTCTCTTTTTTTTTCAGATCTCCGACCGACAACTTTTTTCAAAGTAGGTGTAAGCAATACTAACGTTCGATCGTTATCGGCACTACAAAGGGTCGCCTTTGTAATAAATGTCAATGCATTCATTAGCCACTCATAATAGAAATATATTACATATGTTATAGGATGACCGTTCTCGGTATGTGCTTCGGGATCTTTATTCTACTCTCTGTCTTGAATTAATTACATAAGCTCTATTCATAATAATTCTATGACAGGTGTGATTCTATAATCAATGTGATAATATCGTTGAATCATGATTGGCTAAAAACATAAGTAAATTCCTGAGCGTGATATCTTAATAACGAGTAATACGAGT